ATTGAAACGTTTAGGTAAACTTTCTTTACATTTATATATTTATCTTTGATTGACATGTGCAGGTAAACTTTCTTTACATTTATATTTTTATCTTTGATTGACACGTACAGATAAAATTTCTTTACATTCATTATTTTATCTTTGATTGACATGTTTAGGTAAACTTTTTTTACATTTATATTTTTATCTTTGATTGACACGTACAGATAAACTTTCTTTACATTTATATTTTTATCTTTGTCCGATTGAAACGTTTAGGTAAACTTTCTTTACATTTATATTTTTGTCTTCCACCTGTAAGGTAGTTCCAGAAAGTTAATTTTACAGTAGATGCTTACAACATTGAGGTGCTGTATGTTTATCAATAAAATTGAGAAGTTACTAGTTCATCAGTGATATTGAGATACTGTTGGTTTATTGACAATATTGTGATGCTGTTGCTTTTTTGACAATATTTAGTTACTGTTGGTTTAATATTATGATACTGTTAGCTTATTGACAGTATTGAGTTACTGTTGCTTTATTGACACTATTGAGTAGTGACAGTGCTAAGTATAAGCAGCTTAAGGGGTTCTGACTCATTTCGATTCTTTTATTATTTTTATCAGAGCTTTGACTTTTTCATGTTTTAGTATTCTAATCATTTGAAAAATCATGTTTTCAATAAAATTATCAAAAAACACATCATTTAGTAATGGATGGACATTCAAAAACTGAGCAGCAAGACTTCAGTAAGCACACATTTGGTGGGTACATGCTGATTGGTTGGTAAGTGGCAGCAAGACTTCAGTAAACACACATTTGGTGTGTATGTGCTGATTAGTTGGCAATTGGCAACAAGACTTCAGTAAGCACACATTTGGTGTGTATGTGCTGATTGGTTGGCAATTGGCAACAAGACTTCAGTAAGCACACATTTGATGTGTACGTGCTGATTGGTTGGTAAGTGGAAATGTGTGCTTACTGAAGTCTTGTTGGATGTGTATGTGCTGATTGGTTGGTAAATGCAGAACAAGTACACTGCATGATTTCAGAAAGTTTCTGGCACAGCAGTGTTAGTTTGTGAGTAGAAATTAGTTTTTTAACAAGTGTATTAATATATAAATTTTTTGGGTTAGTGTAAATATTGCAGTTTGTATATTTTTGTAGTGGGAAACAAAAATATTCCTACTTAAGGTTCCCAAAACGTTATTAAGTTGCTGTTGGTTGATCTACAATATTGTTGGCATAACTGAAGAGGTCTTCGGTTATAAGTCATGGTATAAATGAAAAAAATGTCGGACAACTTCAGAAGTATATAAAAGTTTTGAGCTCTTAAGAATAGTACTGGGCAGTTTTATCATTTCTGCGATTCAATCCGATTGTCGATTCAATATTTGTAAATAATCTCAATTACAATTAACCATTATTCTAATAAGATCATTTTTATAAAAAATAATATGAACAATTATTGAGTACGAGGGGTTTTTTTTTTTTTCAAGAAATACTAGTCATCTGTAACTGATGTTTGTTTTATTAATAAAAAAAATGTTACTTTGCCTTCTTCAAATAGGGGACGATATATTTGTTTGTCTGTATCATATATATAGAAATGATCACTCACCTTGTATTACTGACTGACAAGTTTTTTTATTTTATTTATATTTTTTTTGGTTTTTCTGACTAAAATTGAATTTTCTGCTGCACTTGTGAATGTATTGTCATGTTATTTGTTAACAAACAACAACACTTACAAAGCCATTAGGATGTCTGAAAAACACATAGGTTCAAGATGTGTTAACGTAAAATGGTAAAAACCCAAAACCAGAGTGCTCAGGTTATATGTTTTTTTATCATTTTACACAAAACCTGGAGACAGATTGATGTGTGTTGTATTATTATGTGTGTGTATGGGTAACAAAGTAAAACTGGAGACAGATTGATGTGTGTTGTATTATTATGTGTGTATATGGGTAACAAAGTAAAACTGGAGACAGATTGATGTGTGTTGTATTATTATGTGTGTATATGGGTAACAAAGTAAAACTGGAGACAGATTGATGTGTGTTGTATTATTATGTGTGTGTATATGGGTAACAAAGTAAAACTGGAGACAGATTGATGTGTGTTGTATTATTATGTGTGTATATGGGTAACAAAGTAAAACTGGAGACAGATTGATGTGTGTTGTATTATTATGTGTGTATATGGGTAACAAAGTAAAACTGGAGACAGATTGATGTGTGTTGTATTATTACGTGTCTATATGGGTAACAAAGTAAAACTGGAGACAGATTGATGTGTGTTGTATTATTATGTGTATATATGGGTAACAAAGTAAAACTGGAGACAGATTGATGTGTGTTGTGAGGTTTCGTTGAAGTTAATTATATTTTCTGTTATGACAATAGCTCATTTATATTATTTTCTAATTTTAGATTAACTTTCAAGATTTTGTTGCTTTTATGAAATCTTTGTTCTTGAATGTTTTTCCAAACTAATAACCTTGTATACAATCAACGTTTTTAGGTTTTTTGCAGTAGCCAAAGAGAACAATGTTTTGGTGTACCAAGCGCCGTGTTCCCACAGAAGAGTATACAACCCATTTGCTCTTGAACAGGTGTTTCATGCTGCCTATTCAGAGACTACTTGTATAGACTGGACTACAGATTCAAGGTGTGATAGTTTTAATTGACAAACTCAGATTAGATGGCTCGATTTTCTTTTAAGGGAATGTTTTATTCCTTTGATGCAAACCATGTTTTTTTCCAAAGAATGTTGGATTTCTCTTTGTTTAGTAGTGTTGATATAAAAGACTTTAGTTTAGATGTTATTGATTAATTTTTTTTTTGAGTGAATACTTTATTATTGTTTAGTTTTTGTTATAATATTAGTTAAAAGCAGACGATTGTAGGGGGTTTTGTTAATAATTTATTGATATTGAGAACATCGAACATCACGTGCAATATAGAATATAAATAGCGTGAGACAAGTGGGAAGCAGCAGACAGATAATAGCAAAAGAGAATAACGTTGGCATGAAGTTAACTACTGTGGAAGTGATAGGCCTAACATTTAATATGTTAGAATGAAACAGTTGGAAAGGGGATAAGAAAAATGATTTTATTCCATCAAAGCATGGTTCTAAAGTAATTGAATCAGCCTAAGTGCAAAATGAACAGGGGATCTTCAGAAAAAAGACCAAATGATTACAGTAACTCGCACCAAAATTGTAAGTGAATCACACAGAGAATAGAAATAGAGAAGATAGGTCGGCTTGTCAACCGAAATTCTAAAGTAGTTCGATAAGCTTAAGTGGATATTAGACAAGGAGGAGAGAACTACATATATAGTATTTATGATATGCCCATAATATCTATAGTGTTGAAGAATTTATTGTACATACGTTAACTTATTTTGAAAACAAGTGAAGTGCGTGCTGTTTATTCATTGTTGAATGTATCGCTAACAAGTCACAGAATTCTAAGCCTAACAACAACATAATGTATATTTATACTATCACAAAATATAACTAAAAACCTTTTTATTTTGACACTTGGCAAAAAGAAAAAAATGTCAAATTTCTGACAATCAGATGTATTGAATATATAGATATAGGGAAAGTATTTGAGATCTTCACTTCATTAGATCTGACTGACAATTAAAGTTTAGAAAACAGATTTGTTGTACAGCTACATGAGGTTTTGTCTGCATATCTTGTTAATTTTTGTCAGATTTGTTGGTTAAGTTATGGAAGAATCACTATTCGTTTCTACTTCTGTTTAAAGATTAATGCATTACATATTTTCATTTTTTATATAGGGTTTTGGCTGTTGGAAGCAAGGATATGAGCACAAAAATATGTGCTTTAGAAAGATTCTCCAATCTGTCTATATACACCCTTGGAAGTCACACTGACAACATTGTTGGTTGTTTCTTTGATGAAAATTCACTTGATGTATCCTTTTAGTTTTTATTTACAGTTTCATCAAAGGCACCCAGTGTACTTGATAAGTTTCAATGTTTCTGTATAGACATTTGTGTTATTCGGATCTTGGTGATCAGTATCGAAGGTCAGATTTTTTATTTTATAAGGCAGGGTGGCCTTCTGTAATATATTGAGTCATTGATGTCTGGTAACACATCTTGTTTGAACGTAGAACCAATATATTTGGCCATCATCTCTGTTGCTTTTTTGTTGTTGTTGAGGTATCTGTCCTTGTTGTAAGTTACTTTTGTAAACAAGTTAAAGAACTCATTCCAGTAGCAATAGCATATATCTGTTCTTTCACTTTGAATTTTTTCTGTTTTTAGTTTTGATTATCCTGAATAGATGATTAGGATCAATTACTGATTGTTCATAAAATGTTTCATAATCGATTTGTGAAAGTTTACAGTATAGAGAGTGGAATTCTTTCAAAGCTCTTCCTTACACTGTCTCCAAGAGCAATTGGCCAACAAAGTTTCCAAAAATTTTGTTTTATTCACTTCTTGTTAACTGAAGGTTTGTGTGGTATATTAGTATCTAGGTAGCACACACTGTTGTCAATTGATAACATGATCCTTTACCAAACCATCAGCTGTTAACTGAAGGTTTGTGTGGTATATTAGTATCTAGGTAGCACACACTGTTGTCAATAGATAACATGATCCTTTACCAAACCATCAGCTGTTAACTGAAGGTTTGTATGGTATATTAGTATCTGGGTAGTACACACTATTGTTAATAGATAACATGATCCTTTACCAAGCCATCAGCTGTT